AAACACACTACATGAATGAATGAATGAATGAATGAATGAATGAATGAATGAATGTGACTGTATTGCAATAAAATTATTATGAAAGTAAGCAATGAATGAGCCAGAATGGCGCACAGGCTACAGTCTGCAAATCCTATGCTGGACTTCTAATTAAGTAAACAATTAAAATCTATATGATTTAAATGGTGTGGATTTTCTGTTCATTGCACCACATGCATAGGAATCGATGTATCCCAGGCAAAGTTTTTCATACTCAGTGTTATTGTCACTTTGGCTGGATAATTCTTTGTTGTCTATGCATTGTAGGATGTTTAGCAATATCTTTGGTTTCTGCCCAATAGATGCCAATAATGTCCGTCAATTTCAAGAACCAATAATGTCTCTAGATGTTGTCAAAACGTCTCCCGGGGAACCAAAATCGTACCTGGTTGAGGATCATGGGTCAAGAGTAAATAACAAGAAATGAAATCATCAGGGCATAGGGCATGCACATCTTCAGACTGTCCAGATCTGCCAAATCGTTCTGGAGCATTTATCCTTACTCACACGATCATTGGTGTAATTTTAACTCTAGTGACTCGCTTGCTTACCCTGAGCTCAAATGCCTTCAATAAGGTGATTATTGCTTGAGCAAAGGACAGTATATCTAAATTTTCACAGCAGGGGTGCAACTTTAATCAGCCCTCTCTCTTGTGACTCCTCATCAAGGAATTAGGTTTTATTTTAGTGAGGTTTACCCTTTACACTTAAGCATTGATGACACTATAATTATGATCTGTTTAATTTTTTTCCTCCCCTGCTGTGGACATTCATTTGCTTTTCTCTCTTTACTCAAACAACAAGATCCTCAGGGGGAGGTATCAAATGAATCATTAGGCAGTCCCTGGAGAAGGGGTTACCCCATCTTTTCAGGTATGGGAGGGTTAAATAGATAAATGTGAGAGATGAGAGCTGTCCTGCTCTGGGTCTACTGGGTGGAAGGGACTTTCCTGGGAATAACTGTGATGTAATTGAATATTGAACTGAAATCTGAATCCCCTTGTTTTCCCAATGGGTTTGGGTCAAGGTCCCTATTCTGTTTCTTAAGTGGATACTTAATAATCCCAAGATATCAACAAAGACAGTATGATATTTATGGAGTACTGAGCACTTTGCTAACACTTGACATAATTCTCCCTTTTAATCCTCTCAACAATCCACTGAGGTAGGCATTCCTGTTTTACAGATGGAAAAGTGGAGCTTTGTAGAGGTGAAAAAATGTGCCCAAGGTACCAAGTGACCACATGGTGTGGTGAGGGTTCAAATCGAGGTCTTGGTGGCTGGCTGTGTCAAACCACCCGGTTACAAGTCTGACTTTGATTCAAGAACTCTGCGGTTCACCAGCCGACTTCTGGCATCAGATCTGGCCTTGGCATTCATACATGACTCCAGGAAACACAGCTGTTTGGGGGCGGCAACAGCTGTTCACTTATTTAGCACTCTACCAAGCCACACAAATTAAAACACCATAAGGTAAAGCTCACTCAGTCTCAAGCACTAGGATAGGTAATTATTGTTTTAATTAAGGAAAAGAAATACTTAACCTTCTCCAGCTCAGAACACTTAAGTATTGGTTTCTGTAGGGGGTTAAGGGAATGATTGGGAGCATATTTATATTTGTATTGACTTCTGACCATAACAAATCTACATGATCACTTTGTATGTTTGAAAAAGACATACTGGGATGCTTTTCAGCCATCCATCCACCACCCACACACCCATCCATTCATTAAGCCTTTGTTTCAACAAATATTTACAGAGCACCCCATGTACCCAGCTTCGGGCAAGGGGGAACCTTCCTCAACTAGAAACTCTCTCCTTCCACCGAGAACTCTCATCCCATTGAGTTTGTCTTCCTGTGCATCTGCTGAAGAAGTCTTCTCTGAATGAAGTTATCTACTGTTTTCCAACCTGGTTTCCAAAATAAGGTTCCTCCTTCATTAAAGACCTCCACCATGGAAAAGGAAGAAGGGGAACAGGCCAACACCCCTTCTGCAGAACTCAGAAACAGGGCCCCATTATATTCCCAGCAGTAAAAGCAGCCGCGGTCTGCTGAAATATCTGCTTCTAGCTGCCCATTTAGGGTACCTTCTCTTCTTGTTGCTTTCCCGGGGTTGCCATAGCAATGCACTATATCTAGGCGGCTTAAACAACAGACATATTTTCTCACAGTTCCATAGGCAGGAAGTTCAAGGTCAGTGCTTCGGCAGGGTTGGTTCCTCCTGACAACTGCAAGGGAAGAGTCTGCTCCAGGCATCTCTCCTTGGGCTTGTAGATGGCCACCGTTACCCTGCACCCTCACATCATCACCCCACCGTGTGCACATGTGTCCTGATTTCCCCGTTTCCTGGAACACCAGCCCTGTTGCACTGAGGCCACCCCTATGGCCGCACTTCCTCTTCTTTACCTTTTGAAGGACTCTATCTTCAAATGTAGTCACATTCTGAGATCCTTGGAGGTTAGCACTTCAACATGTGACTAGAGGAGGGAGGAAGGGACTCAGTTCAGCCCCACCCAGCTTCCTTCCCTCTTCCCAACTTCTCAGTGGTGGCACCAAGAAAGTGCACAGGAGACCTGTGTGATCGTGGCTAGGTCACCTCAACACTGCGCGGTTTGGTCATCTATCATATTGGCCTCATATTTGTACCTATCTCATAGGCTTATTATGATTAAATGACATTAGGACCTCTGACACTCAGATCAGTACATGGCCGAGGAATCATTCAATGAGTGCTTATTAAGCATTAAAACTAAAAAAAATTTTTTTCATAGTGCCAGGCATCAAAACAAAATGCCAGTTACACCCCCAAAGGATCTGTTTCTCCGGGCAGTGCTTAACACCAGTGCTACACTCACCAGTACACAACAGAGGAATGCTTACCTGTCAGTGTTCACGTCCCCATCATTCTTCAAAGTGCACACCATGTGATGACCACACGATCTGTTTAAAACATTCACAGTAGCCACCATGTAGTAAACTATGCAGTATGCTATGGGCTTTACCATATGATCCTGTTTGACCCCGTGAGGTGGGTATTTCTATTTTCACTTTATACCTACGTAATGAAGGCTTCAGGAAGCCACATCTCAAGGTCGAGCTCCCCAGTGAGTTAGTGGGACAAGACAGGATAACTCTTTCACGAGCAAATGAGGCACTCTCAGATTCAGGGCGGCCAGAGGCTGAAAGTCTTTCCTTGTGCCCCACTTTTTCATCACCCCCTTCTTTTCTCCCTCTGCCGTATGATGTGTTCCTATGGCCAAGATTTCACTCTGTTACAGAAAACATCCAAACTGCTGGGACCCAACCCAGCGCCACCTTGCAAGCCCAGCATATCGAGGGGCAGCCTTCCAAACAGGGTAATAATTGTCCCATTAAAATTAATGTCCATGAAGTGAGCCGTTAAAAGCGTGCAGATTAAAAAGGGGGGGGATTGTTCAATTTAAATCCAAAGGGCTTTCTAAATAGACACTGTATCTTCATTCTTGGAACGCTACACCCGGGCAATGGATCAGGCCCCCTCTGCAAAGACGAGAGGGATTAAGGAGGTGAGTCCCAGGAGAGGGGAAAGTGGTTCTGGCCAGAGGCAAAGGGAACCAAGGTTTATCCAGGGCCCACTGCATGCCAGGTGCTTGGCACGCATTTCATTTAGTCTCTACCCCAGTCCTGGGAGGGAGGTATTATTATTCCCAGATTACAGGGGGCAGTATAAAACCATGGTTAAGAGCTTAGTGCCTCCGGCAGATTGCCCTAGTTTAGATCCAGGTTTCTTTTTTTTTTTTTTTTTTTTTTTTTACTAACTCTGTGAGCTTGGGCAAGAAGACTTTTATGTACCTGTGTCTCAGTTTCCTCATCTTGAAAATAAGACACTACTAATGCAACCCCCTCCCATACACACATATAGAATTGGAGATTCAGTGTAGGCAGCCTGGATCAGAGCCTTGGCGCAATTAGATGTCCTAGGTGTTACCTATTGTAGGTTAGGAGAACTGGGGGCTACCTGAAGGTCAGGGCCATCAGTGCCACAGAACCCACCTGTGATCTGATCCCTAACTTTGTGACTTCACTGGGCCGCTGGCCAAGTGGGAAAATCTCTCGTCATGATAAAAACAGACAAAACTAAGTTCATGGAAGAGTTCCATTGAAGAGTATTTTCCCAGGCACTGAGGGGACTCCTCAAACCTTTGCAATATACTCTGCAGGTGGGAAGCAGAGGATGGAAACTTTCTCATCAGTTCCCAGATCACTGGCTTCCCAAAGTTGTTAGAATCCCACTGGATTCAAGGTTGGAGAAAGTCTCCTTCTCCACCCCTAAATCCTCAGAGCCCCTATCCCCACTTCCCGAGTAGTGCCAACTCCAGACTTTCTGGAAGGATATCGGGGGTTGCTTCTGATTGAAAAGATACTCCCGTGTCACCAGATACCCCCAACGCAGTCCCTGAGGATCTTCACTGAATCTTAAATTTGGATCGCTGTTAACCTCTGCGGGAAAGTAACATTATAAGAAAAGCAGGCAAAAGAGAAGTTTTTTCTAGACCGCTCCCCGTCAGGGTCTTTCGGGTGCATCTGCGCCCCGCCCCCCCATCCCACCGCACCCCTCCACCCCCTGCTCTCGGGCTCTGGAAGGTTCCCTTCCAACCCTCCACCACGCCTCCATCAGGATCCTAACCTAACTAGGGGGCGTTAGGGTCAGGTTCTCCAAGCTACCAGGAAGAAGGATGTTGGGGGTGTGTTCAACCTCGAAGCCTCCAAGTGCCCGTCAGACCCGAAACGAGGCAAGTTGGGTTGCATCTGGCCCTTCCTTAAGATTTTGAAACCACCCACTTCCCCACAACAAAACGGCAGCCTCGGAATATATTTGAATAATACAGCCTAACCCAGGATCCGTTTCATAAAAAAAAAAAAAAAAAAAAAAAAAAAACAGCAAACACGCTTCCTTCCTTTGCCAAATCGGAACTGGAGCTAAATTCAGGAAAAGGGAAAGGAGAAAAATCTTCCTTCGCGCTCGTCGCCTCGGCGAGGTGGTGGCAGGTCCCCCCTGCAACCCTCCAAGACCCGGGCGCAGAGGGCGCCTTCTCGCGTGCCTGTGCGCCGCGCTTTCCTTCCCAAACCGCGCGCCCCCTCGCTGCCGGCGCCGCTAGGGTTAAAAGTTACCTCTCGGTTTCTTCTGCCTGCAGCCCCCACCCCCCACGGGGGCCGGATGATGTAACCCCCTCCCCGCGCCCTCCCCGCCCCCCTCCACCATGTGACACTTTAATTAATAATAGCGCCGTCAGCACAACAAACGCACAACCCAAGGAGAAACTTGGTGTCCAGGGGAGGCCCCCGGCGGCTGGAGCGCAGCGGCGGCGGCGGCGGCGGCGGCGGGCGCAGAGGCCGGAGGGCGAGGAGGCGAGGGGCGGCCTGAGCGCGGGGAGGGAACGAGGCGAGCGGTCATGTGCCCGTGCCCCCTGCACCGCGGCCGCGGCCCCCCGGCCGTGTGCGCCTGCAGCGCGGGCCGCCTGGGTCTGCGCTCGTCCGCCGCGCAGCTCACCGCCGCCAGGCTCAAGGCGCTCGGCGACGAGCTGCACCAGCGCACCATGTGGCGGCGCCGCGCGCGGAGCCCGAGGGCGCGGGTGCCCGGCGCGCTCCCCACCTACTGGCCCTGGCTGTGCGCGGCCGCGCAGGTGGCGGCGCTGGCAGTCTGGCTGCTCGGCAGGCGGAACTTGTAGGAACGCAGGGCTGCGTGGTGGGGCCAGAGCCGAGACCCAGCCGGATCGAGCAACAGGTACGCGAGCTAGCGAAGGAGCGAGCGAGAGCCTGGGCGCGGCATCCGGGCGAGGGTGGCCCGGGAGCGGGCGAGGGGCAAGTTTCACGTCCCTTGTTCGTCTTCTTCTGCGCCCTTCTCGTGGAAGCGTCTGCGTTCCCTCTCCTACCGGGCCCCATCCCTGCTAGGGAGACTCGGGCTCACTGTTTCTGTCCCTTTCTTCCTGTCCTAAGTGCATCCTTCCACTCTCTAGCGCGGTGACTTTGGGAAGGACTTCAGCTCCATAATCGCCACCAGCCCCACACAGTAAACACACAACACAAGAAAGTGCACTTGCGTGGTTGCCAGCCACAGGTAATTATTATGCATCTCGGTTTCAAGACAGGTCCCCGGGCACCTACCAAACAAGCGCCTGCCATTCCTGAGTCGCCAACGTCTCCATCACTCTGTTCGCAGCCCTGGGGTGACCCCCTCCCACTTTCTGGACTCCCATGTTTTGGCGCTCTGCAGGTTACTGTCTGGCTGGGTCTTTCTCCCCAAGGCCAGCAAACTTGTCAGTTTTCTTCCGTCCTGCCAACTTGGTCGCTCCTTCTCCGGAAAGGTGCCCTGTTCAAGGAGCTTGGCTTCCTGGCACCCACAGTGGTAGCTGGGCCGATGAGATGCCCAAAACTGGGATGGAATCTGAGGCTCTCGAGAAACTCTGCGGGCAAGTCCTAGTGAGAAGCATGCATTAAGCCGCTTCTGGTGCTCGGCTGTGTAGGGAGGGAATGTTTTGAGTGCTTGCTGTGCTAGGCACTGCGCATAGGCGGCTACTGAGCGCCCAGTGTGTTTGGTGCTACCGTCAGAAATGCACTAGACCACTGGGGTGCGGGAATTACTGAGCACTAGCTGTGCGCCTGGCACTGTGGTAGGCGCTTTGGGGGAGCAGACCTGTAAGGATCCGTTTTCCAAGTTGTGGAATAAGAGAGAGGCGCTGAAGAGTGTGGGGGTGGAGAGAATCGGCTGCCCACAGACCGAGGTCACCAAGGTTAGTGGGTGCAGGGGCAAAGGTTAAAATCAAAAGGCAGGAGCCGGCGGCACCTGGTTGCCTCGGCTCTCCTCCGCTGCGCGCTGCGGTCCGGGCCGAGCCCCGCGGGGCCCCGACACCTCGGGAAGCTGGCGCTGCGCCCGCACGCGAGGCCCGAGCGTCTGCGCCCGCGGGGAGAGGCGGCAGCCGGAGCGTGGGGGGTGGCAGCGCCCGGGGAGCTGCGGGGGTGCGCGGGGTGTGAGCCGGGAGCGCGGGCGACAGATGTCGCGTGGGCCGGCGCAGCCCGGGCGCTGGCGATGAGAAGTGCGGGCTTTGGGGCGCTCTCTGCCTGACTCCCGGGTGCTGGGGTCCCATCCGCTTCTCCCCGCCCTCCCACATCCTGCCAGAAGGGGCCAGACTGGGGCCGCCGAGCCCAGAAGGGCGGAAACAACATTTTGGACCAAGTATAGGGGACCAAATATCGGGAGGCAAACAGGATTGAGCCCAACGCGTGGAATTTTGGGAAGAGGCAGAAAGAAGGGCAAAGGGATCGGGGAGCAAAGTCAGAAAGGGGGAGAGGATGCTGGGGAACAGAGAGGGGCACTGTCTGGAGAACAGGTCGCGAGTGGGGAGGTGAATTAGAAAGGTGGGAAGGAAAAGAGGGAGCTAATAGAGATGGGGGGCTGGGGCGACTTCTAAAGGTCTGGATTATAGGGACGCCGGCGCCGCACCTAGATGGGCGCAGACCCTCAGCGTGTGCTGGAGGCGGGGCACTCCGGGGCTCCTAAAGTTGAGGCTCCCGAAGTTCAGGCAGCAGTTAGGTAGGATCCGCTTCAGCTTGCTCACTCTGCTTCTGTGTCAGAGTCATTTACATCCTGAGTCCTGATTCGGAGCTACCTGCTGGGCAGTCCTCTCTGGGTTCTTCTGCACCCCCTGTGCCCCTCCGGGGGCGTCCAGCACCACACCCTTCAGGGTTGTCAGGCCTCTGGCTTCCTGACCCCGGATGCCCCCCAGGCTTTCCTCCACACCACCCCCTTCCTGCACTAGCCGCAGGGGCTTCCCCATGCTTGGGCTCCTTGCCTGGCTGATCGAAGTCTCTCCTCACTGCCTACATCCTGACCTCAGAAGACCTGCAATTCCCACTTTCCTTGGGTTTGTGCTTACTTTTTTCCATCTTTTCCAGCTCCAGGGAGTTAGGTTGAAGTGAAAGTTCACCCAGTGGAGAAAGACAATGTGCTGAATTCTCTTCTGGATGTAGGGTGCTCGCCAGTTTCCTGACCCTGGTGGGGAAATGGGATGTGCACACCCTACCTTAGAGTCTCAGGGAGGCCTGTGTCTGAGACATTTAAGGAGAGTCTGTTAGGTGTTAAGGCTGAGTTCAGCTAGATGCAGACCAGTAGTGCAACAAACTTGTTCTGACCTCTACTGTGTGTGAGCCAGCAACACTTTTCTCAGAAGTCATCATTTAAAAGAAAAGAAACAAAAGCCTGAGACTCAGTTTTCCTGTCTGTAAAGTGGGGACAAGAATAATGCTGAATTTAACTGGGTCCATGTGGGTGGCATAGCATTATAGTTCCAGCACCCAGGGAAACTGAGGCCAGAGGGCCACAAGGTTGAGGCCAATCTGGGCAATTTACCAACCCTGCCTCAAAATAAAAAATTGAAAATTATTTAGGAGGAGAGGAGTTATACCTCACTAGGTTCATTCCACAGTACTGGGAAAAAAGAGCTGAATTTAGTGCATAGGTATTGCTAAGAGGGTTAAATACATTCACAAGCAACAGTACCTGGCCTGCAAGAAGTAGATATAAAGGTGAGCTGCTGTGATTTTTTTTTTTTTTTTTTTTTGGCACTAGGAATCAAACTTATAACCTCATGCTTGCCATGGAGGCACTGTGCCACTGAGCTATCTCCCCGGCCGGTGTTGTGATTATTAGTGTGTATTCCATCCTTATTGTCAGAGGGCACACCTTTCCTACTTACCCTCTTGGGAAACCCCTGCCAGACGGGTGAGGATGGTATGACCCTTACGAGCATGAGTTCCGGGCCCAGAAGTACCTGGATTTAAGCGCACAGCCAGAGAGCTAGGGCAGCAGCTCAGTGTAGAGACCTTGCTTAGGGTGTGCAAGGCCTTGGGTTTGATTCCCAGCACCTCAAAATGAATAAATAAATGGGTAAATAAATACGCAGTCACTTGCTGGCAGTGTGACCATCGTGGAGCCAGTGGCTCACTTTTCCTCTGTGGGTAATCTGGATCTGTCTGGTCCCAGGTGTCAGGGAGAAGGTGTGACAAATCCATTTCAGTGTCCGGTGCCTGGCTGGCTCTTGGGTCCTTCCAGTTGAGAATAAATAAGGCTGTTCTTATTACATCAAAAGGGAAACAGAGGCAGAGAGTGTCCCCGTGCGTCACCTAAAATTGGAAGTGGAGTTTCGGGCTTTGAGGGGATGCATCCCCACCCCTACCGTGCTTGGGGACTGCAGGAGGAGGGGGACAGAGAAGATACCGGTGAGCAGGAGTGGAGGCAGTAAATTCCTACACTCCAGAGATTCCCTTTCCCAGAGTGCCTGGGGGCAGGCTCCTCCGAGGCTGAGGAGGCTGCGGGAGGATGGGTTAGATTTAACCAGTCACCGCTCTGAGATACCAGAGAGGAACAAAAGATGCTTTATGGTGAGCACTGGCTCCTAGAAGGAGGGAGTTCTGGGAGGGAGGGAGACACGTGCCCTGGGAGAGGACGGGAGGGAGAGAAGGAGCCGAGGAATCTGCCTGGGAGAGGGACAAGGGGTGGGCAGAACCCTGCCTTGGGCCCAGGGGATGGAGAGATGGGGATGGCAGGCTCCAGAGGCGAGGTAGTCAGCAGCTCGGAAGCTAATGGGCTGCCAGGACCCTGCTTTAATGAATTAATGACGGGCTGGTCGGCTGGCCAGACAAGCTAACTGGTTCTTGGCAGGTACTTTGGGGATTAAGTGGTTAAACCTGGAGGCGCATCCCGCAGGCTTCCCTCTGCGCCCCTGCCAGGATTACTTTGAGCGCTTGAAAGCTTGGGCTTCTGCTTGGCGAGGGGTGGGAGGCAGCCAGACCCGAGGACAGCTGTTGGGGAGGAACCTCCCGGGAAGGGGCCAGATGTGGACCTTCCTGCCACATGCTCCCTGTCTGGAGTCATCCCTTCGCCTAGAGAGAGGCCGCAAGTGCACAAGTGACTGAGCTGTGGATGTAAAAACAGCCCCACCAGGGGGATAATTAAATCCGCCCCAGATGTGGGCTGGGCGGGCTTTGGTGCTCGGGCGCCTTACCTTGAAAAGGCAGCTTTTCAGCCCACCTTGGAAGGCCGGAAGGAGCCAGGCTTCTGTCTCCCTGGGTCATCACTAGTGTCTGCAGGGTAGGGTTTCACAAGTGCTTTGAGCCACCCCATGGTGTCCCGGCTCCCGATGACCCCCTTGTCACTTGTGCCCAACTGCTTTGTGCTGAATAATGAGGCAGTCAGAAACTATGCAAGAATAATTCTTATTGTCTCCCAAATGAGCCCTCCCCTCCCCAGCAGAACCCACAGTCTCACCCTGCTGGGCAAGCACTCTGCCCCTGAACTGAAGCTCCAGCCCTTTAAAAATTTTATTTGCCTTTGAAGTTGTGATCCTCCTGCCTCAGTCTCTTGAGTACCTGGGATCGTAGGCTTGCACCAGTGCTCCAGGCCCAAATTCTGTTTCTTTCTCTTATTCAGTTATTAATATTCTGTTAGTAGTATCGGTGTTGATGGTACAGGGCCTCTGGCCTGGCAAGTACTCTGCCCAACCCTCATCTGTTGCTGAGTGCTTACCTTATGCAGGGCACTGTGGGTATAGGCAGGTCCAAGTCGGAGAAGCATCTGCTGTTTTGGAACCTGTATTTTGGTGGGTAGAGACGAACTCAATTCAGCAAGTGAATCAGGGAGTTTTCCTCCAAAATTTAATGGCTTCAAACAACTATTACATTACACTTATGTACGCAGTGGGGTGGGAATCATATGGAGGATGACACATC